TGTGTCAAAACTGGGTCGCTCCAGAATTATGTGGCACATCATCTAGGTCCATACTGAGCTCCAGTCATTCGATTCCGTTGGTGCTCATTTTTCATTCAAAATGGCCGTCCCTACCAAAGCTGCGGCCTTCGTGGCCTCGTCTCCGTGCTTCGCTGCCTTCCACAGCGCGCAAGTCACGTCATCTTTAGCCGAGGGTGCCAAGAAGTACATTGGTACGCACAATGGCACGTTCCACTGCGACGAGGCGCTGGCTGTTTCGATGCTCAAGCTGCTGCCAAAGTTCGCAGCCCACGACATTTTGCGCACCCGTGACGAGGCCAAGTTGGCCCAATGCGAGGCTGTCGTGGATGTGGGCGGTATCTACGACCCGGAGGCGCTGCGCTTCGACCACCACCAACGCACCTTCACGGGTACCTTCGACCAGCGCGATACTAAACTGTCGAGCGCCGGTCTGGTCTACAAGCACTTCGGCCGCGAAATTATCCAGCACCTGGCTGCCCCCACGACGCTGGACGACGCCACACTGGACATTCTGCACCAGAAGGCGTACAAGAACTTCGTCGAGCACATTGACGGCATTGACAATGGCGTCGAAGTGGCTACTGCAGGAGACGCTAAGCTGACCTACAACTACCAAGTGTCAACTAGTCTGAGCAACCGCGTGGGCTACTTGAACCCGCGCTGGAACGAGGACCAGAGCGAGAAGCGCGTCAACGAGCAGTTCCAGCAGGCCATGTACATGACTATTACTGAATTTACGGACGCCATCCACGACCTCGTGCACTCGTGGCTTCCTGCTCGCGAGATCGTGGAGAAGGCTGTGTCCAACCGCTTCCAGACACACAAGTCCGGTGAGATCGTGCACTTCCCCGAGTACTGCCCGTGGAAGTCGCACCTGCACGACTTGGAGGAGAAGCTCATGATCCCCGGTCAGATCAAGTTTGTGCTTTACAACGACGCTACGGGCAGCATGACGCGCGTGCAAGCGCTCAATGTTGAGCCGGGCTCGTTCGCGCTGCGCAAGGGACTGCTTCCGGCCTGGCGTGGTCTGCGTGACGAGGAGCTTTCTCGTGTTTCGGGCATCGAGGGCTGCACCTTCGTGCACAACGCCGGCTTCATCGGCGGCAACCGTACTTTTGAGGGTGCACTCGAGATGGCCGCCAAGTCGCTTGAGGCTCCTGATGAGCAGACACAGTAAAGGATCGTACACTTAGGAAGCAACTCGCTAATGCATCTAGAACTTGTCCACGTTGAAGGGGACTGATAATCTAATGCAGGTAGAACTTGATCACGTCTTTTGTGCAACGTAAGATTGTATTCAAGCAACATGTGTGACAATGTTGCTGGAATAAGCCCTGCTAAACTCGATATGTAGAGAAAAACAGCGCCCCCATTTTGAGAATTTCGGCGCGGAGAAGTAATTATTGCGAGCGCTGGCTTGGCGGCTATGGCGGACGAGGGGATCGCACCGGCAAGCACCGGTACGATTTTGTATACTTTACCTGTAGAGCGAGGTAGGCTGTGTGTCTGTGTGGTGCCGTAGAAACTCCCATAGTGTCAGCTTGCTACCCTCTCTCTGCTCCATACAGCTCGTATTCCAGTTACAGAGCGACACCAGGATGCACTTACGAACATGCCGTATATTATTGTAGGCAGAACGCAGACGACGCAGCAGAAACCTGTAGTGCGTGGAAGATACGCCAAGTTCAATGGCACTATGGACGTGATGCTGTTGGAGGCGCTGCAGGTCAACAACCCGTTCACTGCCAAGCACGGCACGAGGCTGCAGATGTGGCAGAATGTGGCCGAGTCTATCGGTATGCAGGTGTTCAAGAACCCGGGAGCTTTTTCGTGGCACACGTGTCGGTAAGAAATTAACTGAATGAGTGTGAATGATACAATTTTTTTAGTTAATTTATTTATTTCGATGCTGCAGTGATCGAGTGACGGCGCTGATGAAAATGTACACAGATGGCAAGCACGACAAGTTATTTAAACACGGAACGATGGAGGAGAATGCCCGCAAGGAGACGATTCTGCGCGAGATCAACGAGACGCTTCTCCGGAAGAACCACAAGATGGCTGGACAGACGGTAGGGGACGGCAATGGCAAGGAGAGAGTCATCGGGACGAAAAGTGATGGCGCTGGCCTGAGCTCTGCTGCTGCCTCCACGGCGCTGGCGCAGAAACGACGGAAATTGGAGAATGCTATGAGTGGCAAAGTGACTGCTGCTACCGACGCTCATGACGGTAGCAGTAGCGAGAACTTCCGTGCGCGGATTCTGGAGCTAATTGAGAGCAAGATTCAGTTTGACATGGATCAACGGCAGAAGGAGACGGAGCTTCGGGAACAGGAGTTTGAGCTGCAGAAGCGGTTCCTGGAGTATTTACAGTCCAAGTAGGTTGACGGGATATGCTGGTGAAGAGTGGAGTGAGCAGAGTCATGTGTCATGGCGTAATACGTACAAGAG